ACCATAATCCAATTTTAGAATAGTTTCATCAGCCCCCAAAGAAACCCTGCATCCATTAGTGATTTCTCCCCAATCTTTCTCCCTGACCCCTGAACCCTGGAAACCACAAATGTAATTCCTATCTCTGTGGATCTGCCTATTCTGGACATTTCATATCAATGGAACCACACAACATACATGTCTTTTGTGGCTAGCTCCTTCCATTCAGGGTTTATGTTTATATGCTTACTTTAGAGAGGAATGCTGGGTTTAATTAACCACTGGGATTTAATGTTTTCTTCTTCATTCAGTCTAGTGTATTGATCATTTGCTTAAGTTACCAGTTACCCAAGGAGGGTAGGATGTGCTTAGAACATTTGGAATACACAGCGCAAATCCTGTCTGAGAGGTGGGGTCCCATTGCTCTGCTTCTCTGATTTGGGGAAATTTCCCCCTTTCTCCTCTTTCCAGAAGCCACTAAGCCCCTTCCTCCATCCTTTCTGACTTTTCACCAAACCCTCATTGGGCAGAGGAAAGATGGGGACCAGAGCAATATCTCCACAGACAAGCCGTTTGCCCCTCTCTTCAACAAACGCAAAGGGACAGATGTGGCCTCGGCTTCTTCCAGCCATCCTGTCTGGAATCAGCATATGCATCGAGTTTAATTATGCAGTGAAAGTCATTTTCCTGAGCTGAACAAATATTTACAGCATATTTTGCTGAAAATGGCTTTGCCTGGAGAAAGGTTCTGCCGTTGGGCTAGCAGGTCTGGTGGGCAAATAGTCACACATTTACATACCCTGTTACCAGGGGGCCACACGGTGCTGAGCAGGTGGCAGACAAGCAGGTCCCCAGGAACAAATATGTCAGTGAAAAATGTGGCAGGTGTCAGCCAGGCCTGTGTGTTCTGGGCCCCACCATGGTGTCACTGTGGGCCAGTGACGTCTGCTGTTCCTCCATGGCAGCCCTGAATCCCAGCTCTGCAGCATCGAAGAAATCTCTGGGCTGGGGCAGAGAGAGCACGGTGCCTGAGAGCAGCTGTGTGATAATCATAACCACAGTCATCCCGCCCTGTGCTGTGATCCTGGGAGGTGATACTTAACAAGAAACCATGTAGAGCATCTCCCAGGGGTCCCACTGTGTTCAGCTTCCCATGCAAGAAAATGCAAGACAAAATTTCCAAAAGGCAGAAAAACCCATTTTGTAATATTTTACTCCCTCTGAACCTTGTCTCCTTCTCAAGCCCCCAGTTTTCCCCTTGGGGGAAACTGGATCTCATTGCACTGCGATGAGGTCAGTGGACTCCAGATTTTCTTGAGGGCTTCTTCTCCTCCTGCTCAGTTTTGTGGTTTTCATCAGAGTTCTGAGTTGGGGGGTGGTTGTGTAGCATCAGAATATTGGGATGGGGCTAGGACAGGAATTTTGCTCAAAATTCTTAAAAACCAGTGGAAGTACTGATCACCCAGAGATAATCCAGAGATCAGGTTTGGGAGAGCCCACCCCCCACCCCCCACTGTGTGGGAAGGTCTGGGGGTCCTGGGGGAGGACCTAGGATGGGTGATTTGACGCCAGTCCGGGAGCTGGGACAGGAGCTCCCCATTAGCCCATATGGGGGTGGGGTTGGGTTTCAGCTTCTTACTTCCAGTCCCATTGTATTAAATGTCAGCCCAGAGTGGAGTGGAGCCCATTATACAGTTGAGGAAACTGAGGTTTCCAGAGTTGTGTGTCATCACCTGAGGATACCCTGCTACAGGGAGGGAGGGTACTGACTCACACCCAGACACTCCGAGTCCCAGAACCTGTGCAGAGCTGGTCTGCTCATTGCATGCTCCTTGGACTCTAGCAGGGGCATTATTAGTATGCCATGCTGCAGGTCTGGGTGTCACTTCAGGTGACACTGCTGGTCAAAGGCAGAGCTGGGAGGTGTCCAAGGTCACCAGTACTTACTACCGTCAAGGAAGGAAGAGGGTAGGAGGCTGGGGGCAGGCAGCCGGCCCTATACCATATATGACGGAACCCAGTCCGTGTTGCTGCAATTGCTGACAGTGAGGACAAAGCAGGGGTCACCGCCCTGGCAGGGCACAGTCCCAGGAGCCTCCAGAGCCCATGCCTGTGGCCTTAGAGCCCTGGAAGGTACATGTTGTGTGGCCCAGAGGTGGGGGGGGGGCGGCTGACCAGAGGCTCCGGGTTAGGGCAGGCTGAAGGAGACAAGGGAGAAGGTCCCCAGGAGCCCCCTCCTCACCACCCCCCCCACCCCCTTGGATTCCCCTCAGATGCCCAGGTGAACACAGGGACAAGTTTGTTGTCCTGATGCAATATGTGCCGTGCATCCACTGTATTCTGGTCTTTAACCCAGACCCCAGCAGGGCCCCGGGAACCCATGGAGGTCAGGGGGCAGCTGCTACACTGGACTCCATCAGAGGACGTCCGTACCTCTGTTGGTTTGGACTCGTGTGTACTGTGGGGAGGGCTGATCAGGAACCAGGAGCCTGACTTCTCATTCTCACCCCCACCCTGAGCAAAGGGCCACTCTCAAGGCCTCAGTCTGATCACCTGCAAATGGCCTTGGCCTTAGCTGCCTTCTTGCCTTCGCTTGACAGCTCAGGCTCAACGGTAGAACCACAGCCATCAAGGTCCTAGGGTCCCTATTACTGTGGGCCCAGCACAGAGACTAGGACTTGGAGGTGGGTGAAGCACAGCTGGCTCGGTTTGGGGAAAGTGACTTGGGCACCAATGGCGAGAGCCGAGTCCTTTTGGTTCCCTGAAAATTCTTATTCTGTTTAAGACACCTCCTCCAGGCTGCCTCCCTGGCTTCGTGGGCCAGGTGGCAACGCAGTCCTGTGTAAATCTGCTGGCTGGGTGGGTGATGCTGTGCCCAGGGAACTGTGAGGAGGACAGCTTTGCTCGAAAAGAGATGAAGCCTCCGAGAGCCTAGAATAGGACGCCCAAGTCTGGGGTCTGCATTTTAAAAACAGTGCCCCAGCTATATCCTGAAAGTTCCTCTCAGGGGTCCAAGAAACTTCCTGAGAGGGCCCCAAAGAGTAGAAAAAAGGAAAACAGGAGGCCTGGGTCCCGACACCCGCCCAGCCTCAGGTGGGCAGCCTCCTGTTCTGTCTCCCTTAGAAGCTGGGATTTTTAGTCAGAATATCTGTCAAGCATGGCTTCTGCAGCGAAAGGGAAGAAACAAGTCTGAAAGCCACTGATTTAAATTACTACAGCAGATAGCTCTTAATTCAGCTACGTGATTTTTCGCTGTCAGTGGTTTTGCTATCAAAACATGACACTTTGTCGGCAGAGCCCCGTCGGCTCTCAGCTCCTTAAAGGGGAAGGAAACTCTGGCTACTCTTTGGCAGCCCTGAAGGACCCACCTGGCCTCGGTTTCCCCACCTATAACATTGGGTGGATCTCAGCTTGCCCATCCACATGGATCCCAGAAGAAGCACAGGACTTTAAGGGGACGGTGAGCCTATAAGCTGTGGAAGCGAGCAGAGCTGAGGAGAACTGACTTCCTGGTGTGTGCTGAGCAGGAGAGCTGGCCCAGAAGGGAGACCAGCAGCTAGAGAAAGCCCTGTGCATCTATTGAATGCATGTGCCCAGTCCAGCGTGCGATCTGTTCAAACTGCCTGGGGTCCCCAGCAAACACCGAGGACAGAGGGACCAGAGGAGGGTACAAGGCAGCCGACCTTGAGCCCATCAAAGGCATGATGCCCTGAATACAGAAGGCGCTCCATCAATGCCTTTTGCTGTTCTCTTCTGAAACATGTTTCTGTCTCTACTCTCCTCCCTAGTGGATGACAGTGAAGAAAAGAGTTGCTCAAAAGAGAATTTATTGACAAAAGTCTGTGAAATTGGCCATGATATAATTCTTGTGAAAGACCGAGCCCCCAGACCCAAGGTTTTCTCAAAAAGCATGCTTTAAACTCTCCTGTTTGGAGAAGGAAATGGCAACCCACTCCACTACTCTTGCCTGGAAAATCCCATGGACAGAGGAGCCTGGTCAGCTACAGTCCATGAGGTCACAAAGAGTCGGACACGACTGAGCGCTGACACATCTGTTTGTTTGTTCTTGACATTTCAATCATACAGGACATGTCTGGGTGTCTCCCCACGCTCAGTCATTTTTATGCCAATACTTGGATTAAAGAAAAACAACAAACTCTCCTGTTCCACTTACCCAAGACCCACAATTTAAAGGTGTGTGGATATTCAAGGGCACTGATCGACGGCTTCAAGTTAATTCAGAAAACCCAAAGCATCGTGCCGTGTCACCTCCGGATGACAGTCTCTCTGCTCACACCTCCCCATCTGGCTCCCTCCATTCCCCTGCTCACCCCCCTCCACCAGGGTAGCCCCACGTTCTTTGAAGGGGATTCTACCACAGAAGGTTTCATCAGAGTCCCCTCTTCTTGGCTGTTCAGGTAAGAAAAACCAGGCAGGCAAATTCATCTTTTCTATAAAAGTTTATTTTGTGATTTTTTTTTTCCAAGAAGTGTTACGGGAAAATGTTCAAATTATGTAAAGGTACGGAATCGTGGTATATAAAAATAATTTAAACACACACATATTAATAGGAAAGCAACATCGCATTCTGGCAACAACTAGTAGGTAATCTTGCCCAAGATTTTTCCAAAGTCATTAAATACGTTTTAGACAACAGTACACAGATACACACGCATGTGCACACACACATATATACAGCTCAAGTGTCTTTTTCTGTGCATTCTGGCTAACTGATACAGCTAAAGGGAAAAGACAAAGAAGACTGTCTGCTTGAGTGTCCCTAAGTTGAACAAAGGTGCATGTATCTTGCTATTTCCTGGAGCCTGCTATTTCCCTCCACAACCTCATTAGTGACTAGCTTGTCTGCTATATGGTCTTATCTGAAAAATTAAGGTGTGTCTTTCCATCAGCCCCTGGGTGCGGTCATTGCAGTGCTGCAGGCGGTGAGAAATCAGGAAGCACCACGTCTCCTGTTCCTGGTACATTGTATGGATTGCAGGCAGGCGGTCAGGCGAACCTGGTTACATCTGGCTGATTCTCTGCTTCAGGGCCAGGACCTCATTCTTGATCTCGGGGGGGAGATCGGCATTCACCTGTTCCTCCAGGTACTTCTGTATTTCTTCCACCTCCTCCTCCCAGAACTCCTTGGACATGTGGAAGAGCTCCTTCACGTCAACAACCCCCAGGCCACGCAGGTCCAGGGCACCCTCATGAGGGATGTAGCCGATGGGCGTGAGCTGGGGGCCGCCTTCCCCGTCCACGCGGTTGAACATCCACTCCAGCACCCGGGAGTTCTCGCCGAAGCCGGCCCAGAGGAACCTGCCGGCCTTGTCCTCTTGGAACCAGTTGACATGGAAGATCTTGGGCAGCTTGGCTGCAGGGCGCTGGGCCATGCTGAGCCAGTGTGCCAGGTACTGGCCGAAGTTGTAGCCGAAGAAGGGGCGCATGGCAAATGGGTCGTGCGTGATGATTTTGCCTGTTAACAGGGTACTCTGTGGGTAAGTGAAGCCTCACAGGACTACAGGCACATTTACTGTTGACACGGCCGCCTGGCTTTCTGTACCTCTCTGCATATACAGAGAGAGGCACGGGGAGACAGAGAGATAAAGAGACAGAGGGGCAACTGAGACACAGAGATACAGAGACAGAAAGAGCAGAGAGACACAGAGATAGAGAAACAGAGAGAGGCAGAGAGAGAAAGAGACAGAGAAGCAGAGCAACAGAAAAATAGAGAGACAGAGAAACATGGGGACAGAGCTGTCACTGTCCCTTCTTGGCGGCCCCGGATCTTGGCCAGACTCACCCTTGTACTCCACTGCTGCCGTGGCCTCAGATCTCATGGCTGCCCCCACAAACACGCCATGCTGCCAGCTGAGAGCCTCATAGACCAGAGGGACGTCTTTAGCAGGAGAAAGAAACGCTCCTTAGAGGCTTTGACCCCCAGCCCCCTCGGCCTCAATGCCATCTCTCAAGTGGAAAGATGTGCTGTGTGTGGTCATCTCTCTTCTAAAGGGGCTGATGCTGCAGCTCCAGAGCAAAGGGTGGACCTACCACATCAGAGTCACAGCAGGGGGCCTCGTGGCCAAAGTCAGACTGGGAGCCACATCCCTGGGACGAGGACCCAGGAGTTCTAGTGGCCAGAGACTTAGTTCTATGCCCGAGCTTGCTCATTACCCTGTCATTTGTGAAAGGAAGCTCTGTACCCCTGACACCCTCCAACCAGGTCATGGAACGTGAGCCCTTGTAGTGACACATCCCCTCAGACTGACACACCCATGTCCCAGCCCAAGAGCCTGGGAGCCTCACCAACAAGCCGACACCCTCCAAAGATGATGCCCTCAATGGGCACACCCTCTGGAGACTCCCAGTCAGGGTCAATGATGGGACACTGCCTGGCCGGAGTGCAGAACCGCGAGTTGGGGTGGGCGCAAGGCTCCCCTACAGCAGCAAGGGAAGACGGGCCCTGAGCATCTGGCCCAGCACACACACCCAAGGGCTGGGGCGCCAGGTCTCCTCGGGGGCTTACCATCCTTGGGGTCCCACTCCTTGCCCTTCCAGGAAATGAGCTTGATGCCTGAGGCCAGGAGCTTGTCAATGCCTTCCCAGTAAACACCCCCGTCACTGGTCTCGGCCACAGTGGTGAAGATGGTATTCTTCTGGATGGTCTTGATGGCATTGGGGTTTGTCCTTACAGAGGTTCCCGGAGCGACATCAAAAAACCCATTCTCTGGGTTGATGGCCTGCAAGTTACCTGACAAGTTTTAAATCAAGGAGTGGAAGTGAGTATCAAGGAAAACATATCATCTTATATCTTGCCATGTTAATTTCTGCACCGAATTCTCAAGTCTTTTACTTTTTCCCTTCTCCCCAGAATCTCTTTCTCTTGTCTCATGCCAGCATTATTAATCAACTTTGACTCTTTCTCACCAGTTTCCCATCAAACTATTTTAACCAACCTAGGTAGCTCAGTGGTAAAGAATCTGCCTGTCAATGCAGGAGATATGAGTTCGATCCCTGGGTCAGGAAGATCCTCTGGAGAAGGAAATGGCAACCCACTCCAGTATCCTTGCCTGGGAAATCCCATGGACAGAGGAGCCTCGTGGGCTACAGTCCATGTTGCAAAGACTCGGACATGACTTAGCAACTGGACAAAATGTAAACAAACAGTGATAGACGGTCGCATTTCAATCCAGATTGGATATGAGATTAAAGAAAGCTGATGGAATACATATGTGTGCACTTTTGCAAGAACTAACTGAATTAAAAAATCTGGACACTCTGGACTTGGGAGGATTTGGCATGTTTCGACCCAAAAGTTCACTAGGGTCCAATGATTATCATCAACACCTGGGCCTAAAAGAGTCACCTTGTTGGTCAAATTTCACCCAGGTGATATCATCACCCACAGACTCTACTTTCCATCGTGGTTGGGTAGGGTTCATCAGGGCCAGGTTGGTCTTCGCACAGGTGCTGGGAAACGCAGCCGCAAAGTACTTCTTCTGGCCCTTGGGGTTGGTGATGCCCAGAATCTGTTGGAGACAAGATTTCTCCTGAAGCGCTTGGTTCCTTTCTACCCTAGAGGTCCACGCCCTAGTCTAGGAGGGGGCCTGGAAGCCATTCATCATTACTGATGGAATTCCCAATGTCCTTGGAGCACTGAAACGCTGATGCCTAATAGGAATGCTAATGCAGTAGGGGTCTGCCACTTCCCCTCCTCTGCCGGACCCTCGGCTGCACACATTTAGAATTCCCTGCATCTTACCAGCATGTGCTCTGCCAGCCACCCCTCCTCCTTGGCCAGCCGGCTGGCCATCCTGAGGGCAAGGCACTTCTTCCCAAGGAGCGAGTTACCGCCTTACCCACTCCCAAAGGAGATGATTTCTCGGCAGGCGGGTAGGTGGGCGATGAGTGTGAGCTCGGGGTTACAGGCCCAGTTGTTAACCTAAGGCTCTGCGCAGGAGGACACGCCCACATGAGTATGCCATGTCCCCAACAGAGCTTAAGGGTCACCTTTTTCTTTTTTTAATTCTGGCTTTTGATTTTGGAATAATGTGCTTACTTTTTAAAGGCAAAGTGCACCCCACGGAGTGGAGGCACTTGATGAACTCGCCATCCCCCAGCGCTTCCAGGACGGCAGTGCTCATCATCATCATGATGCGCACGCTGGTCACCACTTAGGGTGAGTCTGTCAGCTCGATGCCAATCTTGGACAGAGGAGAGCCCAGGGGCCCCATGCTGAACGGCATGACGTACATGGTGCGACCTGTGGGCCGGGAGGTGGGAGCTGGTGAAAAACAACCCCAGACTCACAGACAACCGCCAGTCATGACCCTTCTCATGATCCCCCTCCGACAACGTCACATATTGCTTGCCACCAGCCCCTTGATTAGATGAGTCCTGTGGACTACAAGGAGATTACTCCAGTCAATCCTAAAGAAAGCAACCCTGAATACTCATTGGAAGGACTGATGCTGAAGCTCTAATACTTTGGCCACCTGATGGGAAGAGCCGACTCATTGAAAAAGACGCCAGGAAAGAGTGAGGGCAAAAGTAGAGAGGGGTGGCAGAGGATGAGATGGCTGGATGGCATCACCAACTCAGTGGACAAGAATCTGAGCAAAACCCAGAAGACAGTGGAGGACAGGAGCCTGGCATGCTGAAGTCCATGGGGTTACAAAAAGTAGGACACAACTTAGTGACTCAACACCAAAGGAAAAGGTGGCCATGGCAGCAAAGTTAAGTTTTCATAAATGTGCAGCGGGGTTCCACCAAGCTATCTTAAATCCGCGAGCATAGACATTGTTTTCCTGGTCGTTGAAGGCAGTCTATAAAACCAGAACTGAGACATACATTTTCAACATGTGGCCAGTCCTTAGGTGGAACTTATGACTCTCCGAGCAATGGGAGCTCCTGAGACAATTACTGGTAGGAAAGAGGTGAAAATAAAAGGTTTGCTGATATGGCACCCAGCCAAATAAAGGTTTCACTCACCTTTCATGCGCCCTGGAAATCGGACGTCGAACGCTTTCTCAAAATCCTCCTCGGACATCCAGCAGCCCAGCTGGCTGAGGCCGGTTTTGGGGATGGGCACCATATCTCTTTGCTCTCGAGTGATGATGACCATCTTGCTTTCAACTCTGGCCGCATCCCTGGAGTCTGTGAGAGCCACCCGGCTACAAAAATATAAAATAAAATGAAATAAAATACAGAGGTTAGGGGCTTCCCCAGTGGCTCAGTGGTAAAGAATCTGCCTTGCAACGCAAGGGACACAGGTTCGATTTCTGATCTGGGAGGATCCCACCTGCCATGGAGCAACTAGGCCCTTTCACCACAACTGTTGAGCCTGAGCCTGTGTGTAAGAGTGCAGGAGCCGCAACTACTGAAGCCCCCACACTCTAGAGCCCGTGCTCTACAACACGAGAAGCCACCACAATGAGAAGCCCTGGCATTGCAACTAGAACGTGGCCCCCCGCTCTCTGCAACTAAAGAAAAGCCCTTGCAGCAACGAAGACCCAGCACAGCTGAAAATAAATAAGTAAAGAAAAATTGAAAACACACAGGTGGGGATTCGAGAAGTGCTGGTATTCTGCATGGCATCTGCTCCCTAGGTTCCCTCAGCCATGGACCTTTCAGGAAGGGGACGGTTTTCTCATCATCATGTTCTTCCCACACCTGGCAGGTACCAAGGGCACTAAGGATGCGCCATCGATGCGGACACAGCCACATCCACTGGGACGTGGTCAGAGGGACACTCACTAGACCAGAAGTTAGTGCCTTAGGACAGGGATGGTCAGACCTTCCTTTCAACTGGGCACCTGGTTTGCAAACAGAGTTTGCCCATGCCCCTGCACTGATGACTTGGGCTGCTCTGCAAACGTCATAAAATTAAGTCTACATGGTTCTGGCTCTTTTACTAAGTTTTCCAAGAGCCTGCAAACCACACAGCCGCACCCCGGCTATGCTGAGGCCCATGTTCTCCTCGTTCCACCTGCGCCCTGGGTAGAGAGAAAGGCCGAATGCCGGGGGGCAGAGCTGTGCTCACCAGTTGTCATACTTCTTCAGCCTCTTGATCACACCCTCCTCCTCCATGTGGCTCAGCAGCTGCCGGTTCTCCTCCTCGGAGCCATCGCAGATGTGGACTTGGTCGGGCCGGCACAGCTTGTCGCTGCTCTCCCCGAACTCGCTCACAGCCTGGGGCAGGCTGTCCAGGGAGCCCCGGATGATTTTGGCTGAATAGTTGAGGCCGTCTGAGAGCTGAGGGGGCATCTCTGCAGAGCTGGGCTGGGCGGGGGGGGGCCACGGATGCTGAGGTTCCCTGCAATAGAAAAAGCACAGGTTTCATGAACAAAGACAACCAAGGATGCCGTCAACTCCACGCACTTTGTCGGGGTCACCGTCGTGGCTGGGAGGAAAAAGAAAACCAGTTCCTATTAGTGCTGAAGTTTGTTAGAAACGTATGTGAACAGGCTCTGCCTACCCTTCTTCTCTTTGGATGATCAGGTCAGAGGCCCAAGGGTCTCTTGCAAGGCCCTTCCCATGGGTGAGCGTGCGTTCCCAGTGGGAAGGCCCTGTTTGGGGTTTGGAGGCAGAACTTCCTGGCCTTTAAATTCCAAGAAGGAGAGAGGCCCCGCCCCTCAGCCACACCCAGAGAGGCTCGACTCTGACGTCAGGGGCTGGTCTTTGGGTCAAGGCCACGATCAGTTATGCTTTGGACTGGCTCACCACAATAAACCCAGGCAGATAATCATTGAACAGACAGTCGTTAATGAGTGCCACATGGCCTAAGGCCCCTGGACCAGCCATGACAGGCCCTTACACAACTTCTGACTGATGGAGTTCT